GGAGTGTATGTCCAGGTACAGCAGTGCACTGTTAATAGATGCAGCTCTACTGGTATGAAGATTTAATAGTTAAAGTAGAAGCCAAGTCTAGCTCATGAGAAAATGCTCAGGATTCAAAAGCCTGATGATGAGTGAAAGGATGAAGGAATGATAATTTTTTAGGCTCATGACTTCGCATGCACACTCCACTTTAGCCAGCCCACTGCTCCCTAAGACTCACAATTATCACAGGAGTAAATCACAGGAGCGTTTCTCTTTAAACCATCACAAGAAGTCTATCGGGTCTGTGACTAACCTTGTCACATAGTTATGGAATTTATCCCAAGGCAATTATTTGTCCATCTGCCAATAGATGCAATATAAAAAGATGGGATGCATCTGCAATCCTCATCAGGAGGGGTCTTCCTCATGAACTCCATCCATCTACAAACAAATGTAACGGGGTGATCTTCTTGGGAGGACCCTTCAATTTTCTACAGTAGGAGTGCAGACAGAGACCACAAAGCACACAGGCCTGTGAGATAGAGTCAGGAAAATGTGACATCCAAGAGAAACTGTTACTTCTACGTTTCCTAATCAGGAAAGGTCCTGTGCTATCAGTTCTGTACTTAAGATACAATGGTGCAAATTCTAATGAAAAGCAAAACCCTGGGCTCCCAAAGACTCGACAGATGTTCTGACTGTCTTCTCTGGAATTCAAGACTAGCGCTGCCAATGTTCCCGACCTTATAAAAGCAGAAGGGTGGAATGTCCATGAACTTATAAAAATGCAGGGGAGGGAATCTAATTTTAGGCACTGCAGCCCAACATAAGTTTACGTTAGGATTTCACATATAATCAATGATGCAAAATGCTCTTACTTGCCTTTCCTCTACAGATAAATCTTCAGTATCTAAATTCAGTGCTGTTGAAAAATCTCTTTTCCATAACTTTCTTCATTATTGAAAGAGCCCTTTTAAGCACTGCTCTCTCCTAATCCAGGTGAGAAAGTGCTGGAAGGTGAACAGGGTCTTAAAGGGTGGCTCAGCTGAGAAGACATTAAACCTTTCTTGTAAAGGGTATCTTATAAAAGAGAGCCTACATGATAACTGGTCCTTTGTGGGAGGTGAAAACTCTAATTTGAACCAGCAGTTCACATCTGCTGCTGAGAGAATCCTGAGAGAGCAGATATCCAGACCTTGTGCCCTTCCTCACAATCGCCCATTTATCTTAAAAACTCATCCCAGCATTAGGCTTTGGGAACACCTACACTAGCAGGTTTCTGCTTTTGCCCCAAGACTTGAGACCTTTCGTTACTTCACTCTGGCTCAAAAAAATCCTGGTTCCCTTAGGAAGAACGTTTAAGTCCAGGGACCCTACGGGGATGCACAGCCCAGCAGCAGCACAGGCACCGGACACTCCACACTACTTTGCCCTGCAACGAATTTTCACTCCCCAGCACCTGCCACAAATGAGCAATTAGAGCTTAAGCTGAGCAATCAGAGCTTAGGCTGAGCAATCCAGTACTCCCCACAAGCACCAAGACTCTTAATACTTACAAAGAACACAAGCACCTCAATAGCGATGTTCAGTCACAGCATCCCTGTTCAGAAGAGGACTCGAGGGGGACACAGGAGGGCTCTTTCAGCCCTCCGTTCCACTCCCTCATTGAGCAATCCCATCTGCATCAACGCTGTCCCCATCATGAAAAAAATAAACAAAGCTGCTTCTTGTGATGTGGCTTTGCTGGAGTCATTAAAATAAACACTCGTACATGTTCAATACACTAACTGTGAGGCTGCTCTGTTACAGCGTGAAAGGTGCCAGCAGGAGCAAGGAGTCCATGCTTTCTGGACTAACCAAGCCAAGAAGCTTCTGCGGTTTCAGCTGTGACCAGCTCAGTGACTCCAAGAGGAGATATACGTACGGTAACGCGGTCCTGGAGAAAATGAAAGCCTGCCACTCTCCCCCTCCTGACTACAACTCCGCCGTCCTTTATTCTCAGCCACCCGTTTAAGTGCTTCTAGGCCAAGACTTAAGTATGTATTTAACACATAAAGGTTCTTCTGAAACGCTGTCAGTTTAAAAACTTCGACCCAAATAATTTTAATTATCCTAAAATTCAAAAGAGATATCACTGGCTTAATCTCAGCGACCTGCTTTTCTACAGACTGCAACAAGCATATAGAAAATATAGCAAAATACTAATGCTTAGGCCTTGACTTTCCCAATGCTGAACACCAACAGCTGCCACTAAAATTGCCCAGTGCTTCTGAAAACCTGAGCGGTCATCATTACAGAGAAAACCAGTTTGCTGTTGGGTCCCTGGCAGCAGGGTGGCATTTTATGCTCCAGTCACCCAGCCTCGCTCGGCCTCGGGGGCAGCCCCGGTGTCCTGGTCGGGAGAGGCAGCTGGGAGCCCCCAGGGTCCCCCGTGTCAGGCACCTGCTGTGGGGGCTGGTGTAGTGTTGGAAAATAAAGGATTCTTCAGGAAGAAACAAACAAACAGCTCTTAGTGAAAACTCTGAGAAACTTGAGGGAAGGGTAATGCCCCGGGGAAGCTGAATTAGCTGGCTGGGGCATTACACAGCTCTTACTGCTTCGGATGGCAAGTGCAGCAAGGAGTCCTGCGGGGCAAGGATTCCAAATGTGTGCTGCAAAACACAATTGGCAAGCGTAGAGGAGAACTCAGATCAGAGCCAGGGCTGCAACAACAGGGAATACAGATCAGTTCAGTTTGGACAAGCCTGCTGAAATCAAGTAAATGCTCTTGAAGTTTTGCACTATGTCAGTATGCCAACACGCACACACACACACTGGAACCCAAACCACAAGCTAGGTATGTTGGAACCAAGCTCTGTCCGCGAAATCTCGTGGACTTTCTAACACTGCACTGATTATGTTTTATTTATGGGAATCTGTCTGACAAGACAAGATGGCTACTAAACTGCGTATATACTTTAAAGAAAGGACTGATCGCTAGAAAGTTTGAAGAGGTTAGAAATGACAAGACAAACTCCTTGGAAAGTTAGGGCAGCTTCTCTATGAAGACAGGTGAATTTCCAAGTTAGTTACCAGTATAGAAGTACAGGAATAACAAGGTATTCATTTGCAAGAGACTTTTGTATAGCATCTCAGAATGGCATGAATGTTCTTCGTTTGAGAAGCGTAACGATGCACCATCCCCTTTCACCTTTGAAGGTAATATTAAGTTGGCTATTTAACACAGTAGCACTGACATCTTCCAAATCAACAAGTACTGCCCAATCTCAGCTTCTTGTGGTCCACTATAAATATATATTAACTAAAATGCTACATATAATATGGTTCTGACCTTTTAAAACTCAGCTTAGGAGCTGTGATTTTAACCCACTAACAGACTTAAAGGCAAACGACCTTTTTCATACTTACGAAGAAAAATGTTCTTTGATATTCAAGTAAAAGAAGTATGTACCACAACTTCTAAGCTCAGTATCAATTCTAGATCTTCCTGGTGAAGAGATCATCAATTTTAATTATCTTCTGCGTTGGCTCTTGCTGGTAAAGTGTATTTGATCTTGATCAAAACTAAAAAAAAAATTAAGAACTGTTTCCTAACTACAATTGAGCAAAAATAGTTATGGGATGATGCATCTCTAAGGAAATGTTTGCACAGTGTAAATATATAAATATGCTTTTTGTGCATAAATATTTAAGAGAACTGGACTACAAAGATTACTTTTATATGAACCCCCTAAGTTTCTTCAGATGTGAATAACTCTTATTTTGTCTTTTATTTTCTGTCTTTATGCAACGTATTTGGCTGCTGAATCCACATAATAAAGTTTGCTTTTGAAAGAATCTGCAGAGTTCTGCCAAACTAGTTTTAATCCAGCACCAGAGAGTGCTGCAGCAGATGATTCAGCGCTGGGCAGCACTAACCCCAGGCAGATGGGAGAAGCCAGCTTTCATGGCGGGGGGGTGGGGGAAGGAAAAGCAGCTCATTAACAAACATCCATTCAACTGCCCCCCACGCCTGGTTACTTCTGCAGCTAGAAGGTATGGTAGAGCTGAGAAGACATGAGTTAGCACCTCAGGCCTGGCAGATGCTTCCTCTTCTTCAGAGAATCTCCACATCCTCACCCCATCCATCCGAAGCTGAAGATGCTGCCCCCATGGAGATGTTCAGTTGAGGGCTCTCTGCTACACAGCGTTTTATAGCGGGAGGGAATCTCCAGCTCACGTTGCAGAGAAACTACACACAAGTGCCAGAAGGCAGGCGAGATGAAACCTTCCCTGAGCAGGCAGAACATAACAGGAGGCTCTCTAGCTGCTACTGCACATCACTAGAAGGAACTGGAGACTAGATAATGGCACCAATCAAGCCTGCTGCAGCTTTAGTTTAGTCTCTATACAATAAAACTCTGAAAACACTGCAATTTAAGGCATAATGACTCCCTGTTAAATGTATGCAACGAATATTGAGAATTTCACATCTATTGCACAAAATTTCATGTTACATAACCATCCAGTCCTCTGGATGGGTATAGGAGATTTTACCCAATTGGTAACTCACCTCAGCTTTGCTGGTTAACAATACAGAAAAACAACTCTGGGAAATGAATCTGTCAATGACTCCACGTGCAAATTGTCAGAGAAATTAATGTGCTTTGTTATTGGGAAAAAACAAACAAACAAACAAACAAAAAACCCACCCAAACCATGAAAGTAAGTGTACTTTAGTAGAGTTTTCAAAATTAGGGGTTGTCCAGTAAAGCAGACCTGATCTGACAGAAGCAGATGGGACTTGGCTTGGGAGTTAGGGAAACGTGTATTAGCACGGTTTTAGTCAACAACTTCTGTAAGTTTTAGGAGCTCTGATGCACTGGCAAGCACTAAACACACTTTGTGACTCATGATTGTTTAAACTCTGCATTGCAGACAGAGTGGATACAAAAGAAATATGACAGAATGAAACACAACGTCAGTACCAAAGTTGACAAGCCCTGTATCCAAGTTTACATCGTCAAAATAAGGCCACATTATTTCTGGTATTCTTTATTAAAAATACTGCTGTACACATGAAGAATGAAAACAGGATTAAAGATGAGTAACACATATTGGGATCATGACATTAGAACTTAACATACTGGTGCTTTTTAGGGGAAGCAGTTGACACCTGAATTACTGAAACAAGGGCAAATTAAAAATACATAGGTACCCTCAACAAAATATTTACAATATAGTAAATACAGCAACAGAATTTAAAACAGGTACAAAAATTAAAATGACCAACATCAAATGATTTCAAAGGTTGTCCCTTCTGTGCTTTTAGCTGTAAAAAATAGGAAGGTCGGAATTAAATTTCCCATCTGGGAGGGGCACATCCTGGTGGCTCTTCTTTTTAAATACAGATACACAGTTCTTCCTACGAATGGATCAAACGACAACTTTAGGACAACCTTCTAAATGGAATTAAAATGGGGTAGAAGGGCTCTCCCCAAAAAAACACCCAAGCTGAACTTCAGACTGTTCAAATCATTCCCAAAAACGGACCAAATGAAATAAATAGAAAACAAAGCTCAACTTTTTTTTTTTTTTTTTTTTTTTTTTTTTTTTTTTTTTTTTATGCATTACCTGACACCAAATATTTTCTGGCTGACATTACGTATGAAAACTTATTAGCTGTCTACCTTTTTATTTTTAAACCAAGTCCTGAGGTTACTAGGGGCTGAAGCAAACTGACATTATGCAAATACACACAGGTTTGCAATTTAGACATGTCTTGCAGAGGGTGGTTTGCTGGTCTAAAAAGGATGAGAATTCAAGCCCTATTTTACCCCTGCCTTACACTTTCACAAAATATTGGTCCACAAATTAAATTTTCAAAGGTTCCCAAACCCCACAACTGAACAGATGATCCCCTTTCATTTTCAAAGAAAACAATACTGGAAAAAACCTCAGCCCGCTTATAAATTAAGCATTTCATATTTCTTCTAGAATACAAGTACTTCTTTTTTGTACAAAAGAATTACAATATGATTTGTCAAAAAACATATAAAAGACAGCTGCTCTTCCTCAAATACATGAGCTAATGATAAAAGACTGTTTTGCATGTTCACTTTTCAAAGTTCCTGTTCCTTTTATATTAAAAAGAACATTCTGGCAACTGTTATCGTTTGAATATTAAACATTATGTTCCTTTTAAAATTCACTCGATCAAATGCAACAATAATCGATTCTTAAACTCAACAACTGATGCTACCTAATGTGGATTCAACCACATTTTCTAAAATGTGTAAAGCATGTCCCTAGTCTTCAAAGCTTTCGATGTGAAGAGAGTTGCTTTTTTTCTTGATGCAAGTCTCAAGGCGGAGAATCATTTTAAAGCTTATAAAAGTGGACAGAGAAATATTAAAAACTTCTCTGAAAACTACAAATATTGAGAATTATTAAAATTGATGTCAGTAACATCAGTTGCAAGTGCTTAGAGTCTGTCCTGACCTTTTGAGTTTCCACATTTTCTTCATGGTGAGCACCCAGTGCTATTAAAACATTCAGTGCTGGGAAAGGGTAGATACAGTCTTCACTACTGCTTTAAGAAAGGAAATTCCTACATATTTGGCAGTCTTCAGTATCAAAGTGTAGGTGTTTAACTAGAAATCCCATGAATACCCAAGTTTGGAGACAACTGCATGTCCAAATATTAGAAAGTTAATTGAGGAGGAAAATTCCAGACTTTTGAGACTGAATTACTTCAGGAATATTCATGTGTTGAGTATTATCAAAAGTAATATTACTTTGGGCTAAGCAGTGACTGCAAAGGCACAGCAGATCATTATCCCTCCAGATTCAGGCTGTAAAACTTGAAAAGCTCTTGATGCCAGACAACTGCTGTGTTTAGTTAATCTTCTTTTAACAGTGTCTTTGTATCTGTATCCAGTGTAGCGTACCATAATAAAGCTGTGGTTCAAAGAACAGAACTTTATACAAAAATTATACTGTAAATAACCTAAAGTAATACACTCCTGAAACTTCAGGCATTTAAACAATTTCTTTAAAAAAAAAATCTATTAAAAAAATTGCATAAATGTAAATGCTTCTGACTAGCAGGAAAACGTACAAACAGTTTTTAAAAGGCGCTGGTTGTGTTTAGAGCAAGTTTGATATGCTCTTTAAATTAGAGATGGTTCCCATGTTGCTATTTTCGTCACTTCGCTTAGGCAAGGTTTAAATCAAATGACAGGGGACTTTCTTTCCTTTTTTGTCAATTCACCGATACTTCAACTTGACTGGTTTTAAAAGGTTTTGTCTTCTCGCGTTTCTTTTTTGAGCTAACAGTGGGTGGCATACAGAGCTTGCATACAACACACTTTTACAGAGGTTATGAACTAAACGGTCATTAATAGAACACAATTTCTATTAAATTATTTACCTGGTCCTTTATGCTATTCTGGGTGCAAATAATATCAAAAATGAATAAATTTTGCTATATCCTCAGTGACAAAAATGTATCCCAGAAATGTCCTTGCAAAGAGTTTCCCTTAAGTATACAATGTGGCAAAACTTCAGAGATCAGAAAAGTCTTAAAAAAATTAAAATTAGTGCATATACAAGTGGAAAAAATAAAAGCAGGAACATCATGCACCTGATGTGTTCCTTAATCTAAAATAAATTCTTCACAGATAAAGCCTCCAATGGCAGCCTTAGCTCTAGGATAAGTGAAACATTCTTCCCTTCAAGTAACAGTGTACCTGACTGAAGTGCAAGCAGCTTTGCTCATCTCCTGTTTGTTTCCCAAATGTGAAATGAGATGACAACAACAATTCAGCTGTAGTGCAATTTGCTATTGGTTAAGTTCCTCAGCAATGTCCTGCATGCTTTCAGCAAATACTACAACTGACCATTTGCGGCTGCAATCAGTTCTTGAAAAGTATTTTCAAAGCAGCGTTTTAAATCGCTGTAAGTTACCACAAGTACACTCTTCTCATCTCTGGAAATGAGGCTTATTTTTTCTGGCACACCAGCATCTAACTGTAACAAGAATGCAAAAGATAAAATAAAAGAAGTGTGAAAGAAATGGCAAAACATTTCCCCAATAACAAAAGCAATCAATTTCTTGGCAAGCACATTGTTGTGGCGCGGTTCAAATCTGCTAACGCCACAAAAAGGAAGGATCTGAATCGCACCACAACAATGTACTTGCCAAAAAATCGAGACATTTTGGTCTTAACCTGATGGACATTCCAGACCTTTGCACTAGGTTACCATTGTTTTCTTCCCTTTCCATAAAGCTAATAATCCTACAATGCTATCTTCCCCTGTGCAGAAAGCCTAGCCCAATTTCCATAGATCTTCTGATGAACAAAACCATGTTTGACATTATATTTGCACATAAGATTCACAAGCCTCCAGGCAGGGTAGGTAAATTAATTCTTGCCCACTCTAAAAATGAAATAATGGATGGTCCAGCCCCAGGCAATTAGAAAACCATTAGAAACCCAAGCCTCACGTTTTTGGGAGTACTGGTAACAAACTAGTTCCTAAACTGTTCGGTACATTTCTTCCTTTAATGGAAAAAAAACCCCAACCCCAACCAAACAACAACAAAATATTACCTAGTTATAATCCATAAACAAATAGATAATTTCAGGCTAAAGACTAAAGTCTGTTCCACATTTGTTCTCATGTTTTGTTCTGACTTCTCACATTTGGTATTAAAAAAAAAAGGTATGTTACACTAAGTACTTCAGAGCTGTACCACTCAATCTCAATTTGGAACAGAGGAATATCCTACTTTACATGCTGACGTCCCTTCCAAGACTGTACCTTACGTTCTCCTCACTTTGGAAGAAATATTCATCAGTGGAGAATTTTCAGGCTCTCTTATAATGCAAAACTTCTGTGGCTCTACAAATTTTCTTGTTTCGATACAGAAGGTGGGACAGAGACAAGTGGGATATGACATTATTGAGGCCATCTTTGGAAATACAACCCCAGCAGGATTAAATAAATGTTGTAGCAGCAGAACAATAATTCCATTGGTCACCGAGATGTTCCACTGGCTGCTGTCTGAAGCAACACAGCAAGTTAGAAATTTCTTGCATTTGTCCTCTATAATAGCGTTCTGAGCATAACCTTAAAAGCTGGAACCTCCCAAATTTAACGTTCCTACTTTGTGAATAGCTTCAGAAGGACAAAAGCGAGCCAACTAGCTTTTAATTCTTGTAGTGTAGGACAAAAACACCAGTCTCTTCCAACATTAATTACTAAGTGTTGTAATTAAGGTGTTTGTAAAATACTGTCTACTGTTCTCATTAGCATCATTCAAGAAATTAGTGAATTACCTTAATGAATTTAGGATATGGAAGATCTGTATTAAGAAAGCCACACAGCTAACTAAACATCAGTATTTATGGCTTTCTTCCTCTTCTCCTGTGGAGGCATAAATCAGTATCTCAGCTGAAAAGATCCCAAAAATGCCACATTGAAAAAAAATTTCTTTTTTTTTAAGCAATAGAGTAATTCTCATTCAAGAGGAATGCTTTTGGAGTGTAGCAGGAAAGCCCAAATAACCACTTCTACTTGTGCACTCTACAGTTTCAGAAGTGTTTTTTGGAGTGTATTTCCAAAGCAGAGTTCTGTAAGCCTTATGTTTTTTTGTGTGCTGAGCCTACAACCACAGAAGAGAAGAGCCTCTGTTTAAAAAGGTAAGCCATGAACATTTATAGAACAAGGCATTCTTTGACACCATCTCTTACCTGACCTATGAATTCAGGACTGTCCCCTCTTGCTACAGTACTGTACGGGTCACTGCTTTCAAATCATGATGGTATTTCACTGCCTATTTGAATATCAACATGCTTTCTTTTTGATTTAGCCTCAATCCCTTTAATGTCCTTTTTAAAGTGATTACAGACACCAACCAGAAAGATAAAAAGGAGGTTAAAGAAACGCACAGCAGTGGTCTAATAGGAGATTAAAAGCCCCGACAATTTAGAAAAAGATTTAACTGTAGTTAAGTCAGTTGTTACACATCAAAGGGTCTGAATATTTTCTGGAAGAGAAAGTTGGCTATCCTAACCCTAGAAAAGAGAATTCTAGCCACTGACTTGCTTTGTCAGTGTCTGCATCACCATTCTCTGCAGTGAGTGCTACAAAAAAAAGGAAGCAGCAACACCTTATTCTGCTATGAATTACTGAAGTTTGGCAAAACAATGTAAAGTTAGTTGATAGCCAATCTGCCAATTAAAAAAAAAATCAGCTCACATACTTTTTTAATTTACAGAGCAAGACAAATACTAGAATTGCTGAAGATCTTGCGGTCTCGCACATCTCCTGCTATTAATCAAGAGAGCACTCAGCTAAAATTTTGCTAGTGGTGCAGCTCTTAGAAAATTGCAAATAGCTCTGTTAAATCAACCTTGGAAAAAAAAGGCTGGAGAGGCTGGGGGAGTTACCAGAAGTGGACTTTACATGGTAAGTCACCAAAATTTTCCAGCACTATCCTAGACAGTAAGGATTTTGCACAAACTTTTATTGCAGTTTCCCCTCCTGATACGCCCTCCTGTCTCCTACTCTGGTCAGCACAGTTTAGGAATGGATCCTCTTGCCTTAAGACCATCCTCTGTAACAACTACATCAGCAGAAACCTCCACCAGTTAAAGGGGTTTCATGGATCCTTTATGCTGTGTTGAAAGGCCAGAGTAGCATAAAGGGACCAGCATTGCTTATCCACAGTATTCAATGCATTCTAGGATGAAAAATTACTACTGTATCTCATGCTGTATTACCGAACTTCACATTTTAATATTAATATACTAAGTTTATTTAAAATATCCATAAATGTTTGAATATTAGCTTAGTGAATACATTGTTTTCATCCAAAACAGGGGGAAAATAACCATCAGTTAAATCAACAGAATTCACCTGCCAATGACAACTTGAAGTGGAATATTATTTTAAAGAAAGTTAACTAAAAAAATTTTTAAAAGCTAACCCAAGTACAGTGTACCTTGTTAAGACATGAGATAATGTGACTGAGGTCAATCCAAGGAGTACCCGCTTCTGTCACCTGATGGAAAAGGTGATCTCGAAAGAGCTTTAGTAAATACCTGTCTCCAGTTTCTGACCACGTTGGGTCCTTCTGAAACCTGGTGTAAAACAAAGGCTCATATTAAAGCTCAGAACATTAAGAAAAATCAAAACCCACAGATATATGTACACGACTCTTCAATCTAAATTGAGTAATCTTACTGCTTTGCTAAACTACCCATTATAATTTGCAATTAAATTAGTCTCCCCCTACAAACAGAATATAACATAATCCAAGTTTCTCAGCTGAAGTACCCAAAACTAATGCCTACCAAGAGTCACAGAAAAGTAATGGAAGAAAGCAAGAGTTGTCTATTCAATAGGGTGGAAAACAGACCATGAATGCTTCATTTGTATGTAATAGTTGATAAAAAACAAGCTGAAAATTAATTACCTTAAAACCAGTATCTACACCATCTGCTGCAGTTAAAGCAAGCTACAGATTTCCTCAAAAACCTTTGTCACTCACAAGAGACTGCTAAGAGAAACCACACTAAAAAAAAATGAAGCAACTTTGTCGTATCTATTTGTAGCCATCTCTTCTCCTTTATTTAAAATTTTAGTCAAAGCTGCTTATCTTATTTTTTCTCAAGGCTTCTTAAATACTCAAATATGGGGAAAATGTTTAGCTTAAATTAATAAGAGAAGAAATTCTGCACTGCAAACTGGGTTTTACATACTCTACACCATGAAAACAAGTATTTCTTACTCTGGCCTCTCATTGATTGTTCCCAATTTTGCTAGAAGCCTAAACAACCTTCCATTTTGCACTTCCTAGAAAACAAGAAAGATATTATTAAAGTTTCTGAAACATAAAATTAAGACACTTATTTGCAAAAGATACACAGTAGTAATGCCAATGATTGAATGTATTATATTGTGTAACAGTAGACCAATGCTCATTTTTACACTTCACATTCAAATTATAATGTGGAGAATTAACAATCAATGACACTTTGCTGCCCCAGTAGAAACTGGCTCAGGCAATCTATTCCTTTGTGGAAACATAAGTCTAGTCTCATGCCAGGTATACTTACAGGTATGCTAAAATATAGTAAGTCAAACAAGAAGAATAAGTTAATATATATACACACACAGAGTAACCAACATCTGTAGAAATATATAGTATAATACCTTATTTCAGGTCAGATGAAAAGGAACATAATATACCAGAATTTTTTTTTCAGAAATGCGTTCAAACATTCAAATTATAATTGATTCCAAATATAACTTCGAAACAAGTTTTTCCAAAAAAGCTAGAAGTTGTGTTAAAACAGTATAAATTTTGACTCCATCAATGACATAGATAAAGCAATGAAAACAAGCTCACACAAGAGACAGAACATTAGAAATATACATGTTTAGAATACATGCAATTGAAAAATTAATTCCATAGATTTTTCCTTATCAATTAGGATACAGTAAAAAGAGTTACATCCTAGCTGACATTAGCTGTGGATTAATCTTTTGTTTAAGTAAAAGCTGCTCAGAGCTGGCAGGAAAATTATTTTCTCCTGACATTACTCATATTCTCCAATGGCCCAGCTCTCCGACATTATTCATGCTAAGCTGCATCTCATTCCATGCATGATCATATTGATTTCAAATGAATTCAGTCTGGAGTAGTTTACTGTGCACAGCTGGGTAAATAAAGTAGGTCAAGGTGATAATAGCTTGACCTCAGACAACCTATAAGTTGCAAGACTTCTACTACCAATCTAAAAAACATACAGCAGAACGGCTTGTACCACAACTGTAGCTACACTTAGAGACTGACAGGGAAGACTTACCTTGTCCAGCTAGCAGAGCTCTACACAACCTCCAAGTAATTTTTTGGTATGTGGCCAAAAATACAAAAGCCAAACCCACATTTGTGTGAATGCCACCGCCTTGCAGATTCCAGTCAATGGTGACACAGCTGTGCAACAGCACTGGCACTAAGTCTCCAGGTGGCCTCTCTTCAGGCTTAGTAGCCTGCAAGGCAGGGAGCTCTTCTACAGAGTGGATTAGAGGACTTGAAAAACTGAGGCTTTGAATGCTGTGATATATGTACGTATGATGGGAATACTAAGGTGAGGAACGAAAGGGGTAGAATAATGGGGTTACTGCTGTGTAAAACGTGAGCGTTACAGGAGTAACAAGACATTCATGGCTTCGAGAAAACAAAATTATTAACTACATACATACCACTTCCAGCATCAGAAGCCTCTAAACTACAGATGACAGCATGCTTGGAGAGTATGAGGAAAAATATCATACACGTCGGTCTTGTTTTAATACTCTCCCTGAAGTGTCTGCTTTGCAACAATAATGGAGAGGGTACTAGGCTAGACTTAAGGGAAGCTGTAGTTCTGATGTTACTGACGATGTGGTAGTACAAACAAGTTATACTATGACAGCTAATTAGCAACTGCTATTTATCACTTATTAGCTATTGCCAAACTTGGGGCTATGCAACAACTTGGATTTGTAGTGGCTCTGCTCACCCACCAGTGACAAGCAACTGCTACAAACAACGTGACTGGAAATGCAGACTGCTTAATGCTAATCACAGGACAACCTCTATCTTTGCTGGGGAAAAAGGTCCACCTGCCCAAATTTGTGCACACATATTGGGGCACCTTAACAAGAAATGTGCTTGAATATCTTCATAGCAGGAGTAGTGGTTGACTCTGATAGAGTGAGCACCAGTCATCTAGAGCTCTGCATCCGAAGCAGATACCACCTTGCTGTTCTACAGCTCTTTGCTTCTGATAGACTTCAATATCTTTCAAGTAAGGCAGGAAAATTGGTTAACTAACAAGCTAATGGTAGAGAATTTAAGAGAACCAGTCCATCAGAATCCCAATAATTGTCTACTGCCTCTTAAAAAAAATTCTCAATGAGAGCACGTAAAGGTAAGGAGTCACAGGACCTGACTAAATCCTTAAAAACTTAATACCCTACCCCACACATCTTCAGCACCATGAAAGCCTTCTGTAATGTATTTCAGTCTTAGAAAATCCTGTGACCAGTGGCTTCTGATGAGCAGACACCCTTTCTTGTTGAACAAATACACACTAACATGGGACAAGGTACATGTTTCCTTTGTAGTTGGCACTTGATACCTTGATAGACTAACCAGACTCTCACAGCAAGAGATGCACATTCCACAGAAACTGAGGACAGCTGCCTTTACCTCCATGATGTAGCATTCATTTGGAAAGGAAAACACTTGAGATAAGTAAAGGGATACTGGAATCCAAATCTATCCAATAATTTAAAGGCAACATTTGTTGCTGTGTAACCTCTAGCTCAAACTACATGATCTATTGTGGGATGACATGAATGGCCTGCTTTTTTCACTTTAACCATTCTATAAAGAACATCTTTTCCCAAAGATTTCTGGTTGGACAAGAAGATATTATTTTAGTTAAAGCCAGCTGAGGACATCCTAAAACTAGTGGTTCTTGAAGCTTTGGACTTTCAATACCTTGAGCTCAGAGTTCTCAAGCCTGCAGGCAGATTATTTAAGTTGCTAAACAAACAAAAGGAAAAACCAGTAGAAGACATTCCCTCTTAAGGTACAGCTGTAGGAATACTGACTATAGATCTTCTCATAGGAATTACTAAATAATTTACCTTTGCAAGGTCTTCCTCTATAACATCATTTCGCATTTGAGCAGCATCCAACTGAGTATAGAATCGCGCACCAATCATAGGCATGATATCATTTACACTGCGAAGCCTGTTTTGGTCAGTCAGCAAATACCTGCCAAAATATCCCCACCCCCAAAAAGATTACTTAAAGTGGCTGCAAGTGCTGGAGAGATCATCCTATTATGATTTTATAACTATTTAACCCTGATGCCTATTTAAAACACAAAGTTGACAGTTGCAGCATTTCTTAAAAAAAATATTAACAGAAAAAACATGTGTGTTAATTTCCATGTATACATCCAGTCAGTTACTTATACAAGATAGGAGTGTACTTTCATGGAACTGCATAGCTCATCCACTCAAACAGCAAGAACATAACAACAGAGAAGATACGAAGATTCAGACTGTCGTGCAATTGTTTTTCAAATCAGGGAGGGGATAGATTCCTACTTTTCCCTCTTAGGCTCCAAGAGGAGAAAGGCTGATTATATTAAACACCACAAAATAATATGCAGCCAAGAAAAACTAGCACTCAACCCTTTGATCAAAAAGGCAACGTGCCTGTTTCTCAACACCTGAAGCTATAAGATAAGACTGGTATATTACTATGGTAGGTAATCGTCAACGAAGCCCAGTATTAAAGACAACTTAAAATGCTTGTTTTCTTTAAGCTCCTAATTCATATTAGGAGCTTATCAGCACTTAGAAAAGAAAGGGCATTGATTTTATTAGATACACCATGAAAATACACATTATACAAACAAATTTTAAATTATGTTTAGCTATGCATTGACTACGCAGACAACATGCAGACAAATCAATGACAGTAGTTATCTGTAATCCTTATCTAAAAATATCACTTGACATTTTCACTTGTATGTTTAAAAAAGAAGTAGTAAATTTCTTTAAAAGACTTATTAAGCAAACTTACAAAATCAGATTCTTCAGATCAGAGGAATAGTTGATTGTCACCAGTTCCATTGCTTTCTGCAAATTCTCTCTCTGAATTCCTGATAAAGAATTGCAAGCCAAAGCCAACACAACTTTCCCCAGGGAGATCAGATCTGCTTGCTAATAGGGAAAACATACACAGATAAGATTCTTAATATAGATAAGTAGTACCTATAGTACTAGATGGTGTTTAAAAAAAGACAGTTCTTCAATAATCTTAGAAGAATTTAAGTAACTAAAATAAGTGCTATTCAAATCATAGTTCAATATGAATGCCCAAGTTAAATTAGTCAAAACCTACAGAGGAAAATCTGTCTTGATTTTCTGTCCTGATACCTAGCAATTTCTAGGTATAACATTTATCTTTGAATGCTTAACATTTACCTAATTTTAGCTTAAGGATAGTACCAGAGAGAACTCTTGTGTAGTGAGCAGAAGCTCTGCAAAGAGGTTCTCCTAACCACCCACCTGCTCGCTCCTGATGAGTCAAGGATTTGGTGGCAATTAGAGCAAGTCTTCTTGATAAGAGATGCAGAAATACCTATCAAGGATGGCCAGCGTGACAAGATATGAACTACTTGAAATAACTAGACAGGAACAAGCCTATATGGCTGACAAATTGAGCAGCATCACATTTTATGAAGAAATCCTTAGTGTTACCAAATACTTTACTTAAATGAAGAATGGCTCTTAAAAGATGAACGCTGCCTACAAAATGCTTTGCCACAACAGAAAATTCTGCCAATTTTAATAGATAGCCACCAGAAATTATTTTGAAAAGCTATACCAGATTCTAAAGCCATCCCTAAAAAGAGGAGCCTAATTTAGTAGCAGACAACGACATTCAGAGCAAAAGCTGCCTGACTCTTTCCATGGAAAAGCTTTCAACTCCACACAACTTGGCAAAACTTGAAACACCTGCAATTTCCATGTTGGATGATTGCTTCAAAATGAATTTAAAAGTCAACTAGAGATACAAATTTAGTAGTTTCCTGAGGTTTTTTTTTTTTTTCCCTGAGAAAATAAGTTATTCTTGCAGAGTTAAAAAAGTGAAAGCTACTAATCATCAAGAATGTCAGCTCCATAGTCTGGACCAAGACTATGCTATTTAGCAGAGTATGCACTCGTACAAAGAATACACCTTCTTTGTATGGTGTATGGTAGTGAATGGCCAAAAATTTGGCAGCACGACATCATCAAAAGTTCTGTGTAGAATTTGGCAGCTTTAGGAAACTGCTGTGATGGTGAATGTGCCATAGCCCCTCACAGCTCTTTCACCCAGAGGGGTAACCATGTTTGTTGCCTCTGGCTCTGAGCAGAGCTTTGCCTGCAGCTGCATCTCCCAGGTGTTGAGGGACAGTGTGAAGGCAACATTTTCCAGGTCTTTCAATATCCCTGCTGTTTCCATATAAAGTATGATTAAGCAGCACAATTTAAACATGAATATGCAACATCGTAGAAGTTAAAAAGCATAGTACTCTTGTAGCTAATGAAAACAGAAACAGGATGTGGAAAATGAGACAGAAATAAGGACAAAGCAGTCGATAAGGAGACAGAACTGGCATCTACTAGACTTGATTTCCTAAGGAACCAGGAATTCCTGAGTATTGGCATTCCTTTGTACTTTGGTAAAGAGAAAAGAAGCAGAGCAACAAACCCCATTTTTGTGGGAAACCTCTTGCTTCCACTACCAAGTAGTTAATGTGAGCAGCAGAGGACGTTGCTATAGTACTAACAGGAATCATGCTGATGCAGTATCTATACAGAGACACGTATCCCCTGGTACAATGGCTTTTTTTTTTTTTTTTTTTAAAAGACTCAGAAGAAATATGGAAGTATTTGTATTAACTACAATCTTTCTTCTTTCTGCAGTCCCCTACTTTACACTTAATACTTTCAAACTTTTAGTAATTCATAAGGATGTATACTATATAAATTCTCTATTATCATACAACCCTGAGAAAATGAAAATCCACAACTTCAGGTAAGATCTTATGAAAACATAGTCTTCCTTTACATAGGCGTTTTCATAATACAGATTGCATTGTACTTTAAAAACGGTTGAGAAAGAGTCTTACATTAACATCAGCCAGGAAATTCTAAATTCAGGCTTTTGGTTTTTTGAGTGTTTGACTCGCAACCTTAAACTTTGTCTGTTTTGCAAATTACATCTAATAGAAAAACTGGCAGAGGAGATATAACACACCAATACAGCCTCAAACATTTTAAATTACAGTCAATGCTTAACTTGTTTTAGTTGCAGAAGTGGCTTGCATTCATCCCACTAGTTTTAGGAACTTAAACTTCAAGCGATTCAGTCAAGAGTCTGATCCATTTAAGGTATCTGTAATTCTGCAAGACAATTCATATTTTGAGTGAGCCAAATTGCTCTCTGGAGTTGCCTCACTATCCACTGACAGCTGAAACCCTGAAAGAAAATGTTATTACAATGCCCAATGTTTGAAGTAATACAAGTGCACAAAGGCAGGTAGTAATTTTCCTGGGTGATAGGGGAATCACAGAATATCTGGAATTGGAAAGGACCCATAAAGATCAGGATTTAAGGAAGTCAGATTCCTATTTTAGAAGGAATAGGACAAAACCATGACCCATTGACCAACTCTATCCATGCAGACAGGGTACACAGCTTCCCAGAAGCTGGTGTACACCATCTTTTCTATAAGGAAGTAATCTACATATGCCTATTAAGCCCTAACCTCCCCTCTTCCTCCTTCCAGGCAGAGAAAGGTTAAGGGGGATGCACAAGAACTTCTAGACGTCTTTGGAGCTGGGACACCAGAAATAAATGCTGTATTCCTGTAGTACCTTGCTAGTGCAAGGTACAGATCAGCTTTCGGTACAATAATTTCCCTGTTTATACTCCATATCATGCTTTGCTCGTATCTATGGATCACATTAGTTCCTCTTGCCACAGACCTGCCAGAAGATTTTTGCTATGGTAACTATCAACAGTGACTAAGTCATAACATGTTGATTCTCAACTTCAAGGAAAAGCTTTACACCTTTTAAATACAGGCTGCCCTTTGTTCAAAAATGTACCTTGCATGCAACTAATGACCAATTCGCAAGTCAATTCATAAACATAACCTATACTTATCTTCCTGCCTCCTGAAAGCTTTGCTAGTAAAGATTTTATCACCATCATCTAGTTCATTGCTAGAAATATTAAATAGCATTAGACTAAAAACCAGCCTCTAGGAGATAAATTCAGGAACAGCCCTCTTCATTACTGTCTCCCTGTTATCAAATTAATTTCAAATATGTCAGTAAGCAATTTAAAAGTTAATTGAATAGATAGCCTTTTCTTTCTGCATAAATTTTTTAATGTTAAAAAGGTATGTGCTACTATGCCAAATGCCCTGAGGATACCTTTTATACACTTAGCTTTATCAGCCAGATATAAGAGCTAATCAAATAAATCAATTTTTTGACAAGATCCATTTTCCATAAACTCTTTGAAACTGACATTACTTTTTTGTTTGTCCTGTTCCACGGCTTTGCTTGGATCAATATCAGCTCATCCACTCTACAACTCTGTGGATTCACTTATCCTTTTAAGTTCTGGAAATGCAGTTAGAAGTCCCTCCAAGTTCCTAGATTTTTTGATTATTTATTTTTTAAAGTCAACAGTAATACTCCAGATGAGTCTTCAGCTGGTTTCTTTAATCTGAGGGAAGTTATTTTGGTTTGCTAAATTAAAAAATATTTACTTAGAGCAAATGTAACCTTATAATCCTTGTCATGTCAATAAAACTTATGTTTTCACTTAATTTCGTATGGATAAGACTCACCTTCATTTTATTCCAAATACAGAAATATTTATTAAACCTTTCTACTGTTTCTTACATCACCATTTATAGTTTTCCCATCTGTATCTTGTAACTGACTGACAGAAGACTTAAGGATTAGGGGTGGGAAGTGATGTGCTGGTATTTATATAGGTTTAACACCTTGCTTATAATGCAAGCAGCCATTCACATTTCATTTACTTTTTTTTAAGCTTCCCTTACTGTTGCCTTAACTCTTACATGAACATGTAAATTAATGTTTAACACAGCCTGTAAAGAACAATTGCAGCTCTTTTACATAGCCCCTCAGTGTTCTGGCCAAACTCTTTCCTCTCTATATTGACAATGGGAAATAGCCACAAAGTGACAAATGCTAACAAAAATACCTTCCTCCATTGAAGACAGCAACAAGGAAATGCATATTAGCTGGGCAGTAAACCAAGAGATAACCTACATTTTTAACAGTCACGCTGGAGTCCCAGAGGAATTCAGGAACTGGGTCATGGATCGAGAGGAAAAAGGACAAGCAGCAGCTGTTATTTTGTAATTTTATCTGGCTAGGGCAAACAAAGGTAGAGGATGATAAATGACCCCTGAATTGCAAGGAATAAACTCAGTCCAGAATCTCTGAAGGAACAAAATGGATAGTGAAAGCCTAACCCTTCTAGAGGAAGTGACAAAGAAGGCGGCAATACTATATTTTCTAACTCCAGTTTAGATCTTCCAAACTACGTGCTTAAGAGCACTTCTTTTCTGGTTTAGCAGTGATACCTGAGCAATTTGGATATTAACAACATATAAAACATGCAAAACCATGCCCCCTAAACAAAACTAGGCATTACCAAGCAAGTTAGTTGCCAAGTGTTGGTCTGCTATGGTGGTAAATGCTTTTGACAGGCTTGTGTACCTGCAAGCATTTTTAGATTTGTACCTCCAAGTACATTAAATGTTTTGCTTTAAAATTACTTGAATGTCGTAATATCTCAGGAGGATTTCTTTCCCAGCTGCAATTAAAATAAATTTGAAGAAGTATCCAGATTAAAAAAAAAAACAAAACAAACCTCTTTGCATTTTTAGCCCCTCACTTGCATGTATTCTTATCTTCTCCCAGCTGTTTTCCACTAAATTATAACCAAAAGCCAATTGATATGTAGCTGCGGGGGAAGGGCAGGGAATCCTTTGATGTACTACTCAAAGTACACTGAAAATTGCTTTACTGTATCATTCAAAAAAAAACCCCAAAAAACATTGCTATGTTCTAGGGCATGGTCTCCAATAAGCTAGCTTCTGCCTGGCCAAAGTTCAAACATTTCATTTATTACTGGAAGACTCTGAATGACCAATTTTCTCACAGTGAATAAGCTCAATTAATGAAAATAAATTAAATCCAACTCCCTACTGTAGTCTTCCAATCCCTGTACGGACAGGGTATGTGATGACTGCTAAAGCAATGTACTTTACCCTGAGGGGAAGGTAGGGAAAGAAGCACTCCTCTACACAGTGATGCTCCAGATGACTGTGAAACAGTATTTGTCAAATCTAAAGGGATTCTTAATTCAGGACTTATGCAGAGTCCACACTTCAAAGGATGCCAGGAGAGCATGGAAAAACTAGGAGCCTAAAATAAAGATACACTAGAACCTTTTAGGAGTGAGGAGAAGGCCTAAGTGCAGTTATTTAAAAGATCTCTTACTCCTCTGCGAGCACAAATTCAACATCTAGTTATTTTTGTTAAAATAATAAAAGAAAAAGCAGAGCGAAAACTGTTACTCAACCAGTATTTTTGTAATACTAAATTTAAGATTTTTCTTCTCCTTCCTTTGGAAATCTGTATTTCCTATAATTTCTGACTTAAGTTTGTTAAATAGTAATAGTTCAACCTGTTGGTGACTTTGCTGAAATTTTAGAAGTTAGCAACATGAGCATTCGCATTTCTAAATTACAAGCAAATTTAAATAATGCATGGTAGAACCAAGATCAAATCAGGGATGCAAAAAAATACAGTCATTTAGAGACAGATACACTAAACTACAGTTTAATTAAAATACTTGTCTTCCAAAAGGAATCATACTGGTTTTCAGTACTCCCTGTGTAAAGTCACCAACCAAACTATGTCGCTGTTGTCTTACCTGAAACTGAGCCATTAATGCCAGTGGATTATTTTGACTGTTGTCAAATGTCAAAACATCAAAGATTCCAACACAATTAACTCGTAACCTTTAGGAACATCAAAAGAAAAACAAGAAGTGTCATTAAATTTTGTTGGTTACTCAGTTTTTCCTAGAGCATTCATTGAATGCTTTGATATGAAAAAAAAGCCACTGGTACTCAGCAAATTACTGTGAAGCAGAGAATACTAATTTTACTATTTGATAAAATACAACAGATAGTCTTCAGTTTATAAATAAATAAAAAAATTTCTAAATTTTCAGTAGTGGATCCAAACAGTATATATGCATAACGCACAAGTCTTCACAATATATGTTTAAAAAGAACTTCAAGAAAAATTTACAAGTTTTAGCATGTATTCATTTTTAGTCTCGTGCCAGTTAAAAGTAACAGTACTTTCTAGGGAGACTTTGCTATTTCCATAACAGGCGGATGACCAGCAGCTACCATGAACAGAGATCACAGTATGCAGCGAGGGGAACGCTGTCATTACCTTGTTTTGCCTGTTACTAGAATCTTGGTTGGATCCATAACTCGGCATGCCAGTCCTGCTGTATGAATGGTCCGTAACGCAGAGCTGAGCTGCACGATATATGCCCATATCAAAGACTCTGGAAGCAATCCAGCATGCTGCCGTGGTAAAGGTCCATCATGCTGACCTAGAAGGTAAAGGAAGTAAGCATCAATTGTAAGGCTGCTACGTAAAATTAAAGTCAGCACATTTCTGAATTATACAATTAATTCACATACTCATTTAATTCATCTCGTAATAGTCCTCAAAAGATTTATCTGTTGTGCTTTAATGGTTGGGTTGTTTTTTGGCTTTCTTTTTTCATTTGGTTTAGGTTGGGTTTTTTGGAAGGACACTATTTTAAAATGCTGACAATTCATAAGGCGTTATTATTTTCACTCTCACATTCAGGAAAACTGCTGATTTTTAAAGTTTAGAATGAATAATCACTACAAAAAGAGCACTGTTTAGAAATTGCTGAAAGTGGGTGGTACATCAAAATATGCAGGTACTTCAGAAGTTAAAATGCTGGTATCCTGAAACAACAAGTATGCACCACAGCAGCTGCAGCCGATCTCATTTTCCCTCCTGTATTATAGGAAGGTTTACAAATCAAACATTCTCTATCATCTGATAAGACAAAGTAACAAGCTGTTTTCAAATTACATGGACAAACCAGAGTGGGAGATACGGTGGCTGAACATCACTGAACTCAACTTCACGTGCGTTCTGCTGTGACCCAACTCCCTGACAAGTCATGACTGCACGACCCCTGTTCAACGGGCCATATGAAAGCAACGCATCGCTCCCCTTCTAAACGGATTTGTAGCCTTCATTGCAAAAGTAAAACTAATTCTTTGCAAACACACACCCAAATTCTACATTCTGTTCCTGAGTAATACTGAGCCAGAGATGAAAAAATAAAGATATACATAACAAGCGTTATTTTTAGTAAGATGCGTGTAATACAAAGAAGTTGCTACTGTTTGTGTGGCACGAAGCTGAAGAGAAGAAAATACACCCAGATTAAGACAGAGCATCTCAATTTTACAAAACATCATAGGCATTTCATGAGGTTGCCTCAGGACAGTTTTTGCTAGTTTTGAGACCGGTAATATCATCAGTATTCAGTAAAATCATGTAAGCATCCTATTCAGTTGTTAACTGACTGGATTCCTCTCTTCCAAACATTTGTTTCTTGGTTTGTTTTTTTATTTGGGGTTTGGTTGTTTGGTTTTTTCCTGTCCCTACAGAACCATATCAACATCTGTGCACTTACTCAAAATAACTTTGTGTGTGTGTATGCTTACACGTGTACACACAAACACACATATATGCAAGAGTTAAAAAAATGAAAGACATTACTGAAAAATTTCTATTTAGAAATTTTACTGATTTTGGAGTGATGGGCTGGGAATGTTCCCAGCTTTCATTTCTGAGCTTTTGTTTATTTGTTTTTAAACTTTAGTTCATTTTTCAGATTTAAAGTGCTTTGCTTAAGATTATAAAGATCAAGACACTGACTCCTTTAAATAGCAGTGAGGCTGGCATGTCTACTGAAAGCTGAATATAATGAGATACTCTTTGTTTTTTCTGGACTCCTGATGAATCATTATGCAAATCACTTCCCACAAACCAGCATACCAGAAGTCTCATGTAGCAAACCTTCCCCCCACCTCCATGACTCTCTCTCCTTCAGCATGACAAAATTATGATGATACAAAATGACTGAGAAGATGTAACCTCCCTTATTAGTTGAGGGTTGTTCTCTATAGAATACATTTTATATTTCGTAAACGGTAACACATGTGGCAAGTTTAACAGGAATGTGCATGGACATTATAAGAGAGAGTTACACCTGTATGAAGTAAGTATGTCCAGAACAGAAATGTTGCTATATCATCCCAAAGAGAGAAAATCCAAAACTTGGGGCTTATTTTTCTGCATGCAACTTAAAACCAGCAGCACTTGCTCTTTGATTTCCAGATAAAGGCAATGTAACCAAGAGAATATTCAACATATGCTGAAAAGCTGTAAGATCTGAGTTCAACACAGCTTCTCCCCCTCTATCAGAAAATCTCTATCAAGCTACACCATTAATTTATACCGGAAAGACTCGCCTGAGGCTACAAGTCAAATCTAGTCTGCTGCTTTCAGGCTGGTTGGCTGCATCCCACATTCCCATACAGTAAAGGTACAAGCTAAGACACTGGAAAAATCAGTCTTGAAATGCTCTCTTACGTATCTGTCTGTTCAAAACAAGCAAGATTAAAAAGCAGCTTCTTTTGCTGCAATACAGACTATGAAGTATGTCCCACGAAGGCCCATCAGACCTGCCACAGATGGCACTTGAGCAAGGACCCAAGGAGATGAGACCCAAAAGCTAACTCTTCAGGCAAAACACACAAGAATGTAAGAAAACGTTATAAAAATTATCAGAAATATTTTACTCCAATAAGTGGTACTTTAGAGGTTTCATGGTTGATTCAAAAAAGACTTCCTACCACAAGTTGAATCAGCCACAACATGAAAAATTTCAGATTACATTCTTCTCATCTACAGACAGGCTCACCTCTCCCACTACTTTCATCTCTCTATGCAGAGCATAGATACTAATGGAAAAGATTAAAAATTAAAAGAACACCATTCCAAAAACACAGGTTATCCATTACTTCTCCTTACTGTGCTAAGATGAACTCATTGTCAGCATTATTTATTTATTTTTAAGTTCTATAGCATGATGTTCTTCACTGAGCAAGAAATGTCCCCTTTGCACTGGTGTGTGTGTATATACTTTTTTTGTTCGTTGGTTAAAAAAAGTATTCAAATGAAATTTGGCTCCCCAGAGCAAGGATAAAGCCAGGCATAATTCTGAAGAGCTGGGACCACCGGCAGTAGGACCTGCTTTACATTATCAGGAACACTGTCAGAAAGCACACTAACGAACAGCGATTCACACCAGACAGTTACGAAAAAAAAATCAGAAGCTCAATGAAAAATTTAGCTGCTCGCTAAATTGAACTTCTCAGGCCTGTAAATCACTTTTTCACATTGGGAACTGTGAATTGTTGAGTATTTGCTTAGTGTTCCTGAGTTAAAGTACTGAAAGTAAGATAAATGCGGCAGCCTTCATTTCTCCCCCTTCTCCAGGGAAAACTGGGCTTTGGTTTTACATTTCCCAATTTTCAATATATGGAAAGGTTCTGAAATACTAGTGCAGCATTACATTTTGTAAAAATATCTGAAGATATAGCAAACTTGAATTTGCTTAGAAAAAGTTGCAGCTTTTGGCAAACGTACTTTAGCATAATTTTTAGTCACATATTTTGTCCTCAATGACATCACAATGACTTTCAATATTCATATATTCTTTCTTCTCATCACAGTCTAAGTACACAACTTATTTATTTTTTTGATAGAAGAGGTATTTTATGAAAAAACTTTCAGCAATGGGGGATGCAAGAACTGTGAAGTCAGCAATGAAGTCCATTTTTGTGCATTACATACTACTATTAATGAGTCCAAAGGAAAACAAGGTCCAGGAAACTTGCCTATCTTCATTAGAAAGTATTGGTTTGCTGAAAAGCAGAATTTGTGGTGCAGAAAATGACTGTAACAGCTGAAAACCACTGTAACAGCACGTACACTAGCGTGTAATTACTCAGAGTATTTTTAATAAACAGACCAAAGGACATATGAAAGGCATGCTTATCTCTGCCAACCACAAAAACTCATCAAGACAAAGAAAAAACCTTACTGGCAGCTGTGGATTGTTATTGTTAATTTGCCAGGATTTTCTAGTTGATAGTTTTAAAGTATGTACATTCAGAATGTGGTTTATCATTTCATTATTGGACTGTTAAGAACAACGTTTCAGTACTTTTGGGCTTACTTGCACATTTAAAGAGGAAAATCGTTTATGCAGAAACATGTACTATAATCTAAAGTTGAGAAATATCAGAAAGATGGAAGAAAACTAACAAGTTCCAGAAAAACAGATTTAATGTTTAGACACTTTTGATAGAAATATGAGTGTTGAGGAAACATGAGGAATGAGAATCAAACAAAAAAGAACTTTTCAAATAAGTAACAATTAACTGAAAAATCGAACTTCTGATTTTAACACTTGTGTAAATTTAGTAAAATACAATAGAATAACATCAGATTATCATATGTACCACAAGAAAAAAAAAAGATGATATTTCACTGCCTAAAGAGCACAAGCAATAAATTCTATAGCATTCAAAAGTGACAAAGACATTAGTTTACAGTATAAAAAAATAAACGTAAGCTTCTTGTTCTGCCCCCCCCCCCCCCCC